TATGCTATTTGGCTGTTTTACAGGGACTGCAGGCAGAATGAAGACTGTACTGTGCCTCCTGGTGCCTCTCCTGGTGGAAGTCCTGTCCATTGATGGGGAAGTTCCGACAGGTAAGAAATCAGCTCGCGGGGAACCTTTCATGTGTGAGGGTCTAATGCAAAAAACCTTCAGTCACCTCGGCTGGTCCGAATTCTTTGCCTTCACCTTTGCTGAAGATGTTATAACATTTGCTACAAAGTTCTGTTTTATTTTGATACTTTGTAATGATATAATAATACTTTATTTTGATACTTTGTAATATGTTTACTAATAAATTCTGATTGATAAAAGGTGGAATTATCACAGAACTGTAACAGTAACTCCCACGGGGGAGCTCAGCTCTCAGGGACAGGAATCAACTCAGTAAACGGGGGTGACACATTCTTCTTCTTCTTCTTCTTCTTCTTCTTCTTCTTCTTCTAATTCTTCTTCTTCTTCTTATTATTATTATTTTTATTATTATTCAGGATTTATATGGAGACAACAGTTTGCACATGAGCCATGATGTCAGATGTTGTGACATTACAGGTCTCTGTGTCACCTGTTCATGGGACAGTGTTGTATATTTTACACCATAGACTCTTAGCTAGAGGTCATTTACCACCCAAGGAGGACACAAACTAGCGTCCTCCCGTCACCCTAAGCTCAGTATATAGGGAGCTACAGCTCGCGGTATACTGAGACGCCGCAGCCGGAGCGGATCCCGACAATTATGTCTGGATCCACCCAGCTTGACAGCTGGCTCTGCCTATCCAGAGGCAGAGCCAGCTGTACCCGCCCCCTCCACCGTCTGTTCCGCCTTCCGCCAGTCAGCGCTGGAGGATCGGACAGGGGAGGGGGGGGAATCCCTGCAGGGAGCCGTGAGTGACAGTCCGATCTACAGAGACGACCTGTGACAGTCTCATTGTCACAGGTCGGCTCAGATTATGAGGCTGAGTGAAAATCACTCCCCTCATAATTCTCCTATAAGTATTAGGAAATGTTATATAAAACAAGTTAGAATAGATATCGCCCCCTCCACCGTCTGTTCCGCCAGTGAGTGCTGGAGGATCGGACAGGGGAGGGGGGGGGAATCCCTGCAGGGAGCCGTGAGTGACAGTCCCGGCTCTCTGCAGGGGTAGATCGAAAAGTGAGCGAGCGACGGTATGTGTTCGCTCACTGCCCGATCTACAGAGCCGACCTGTGACAGTCTCATTGTCACAGGTCGGCTCAGATTATGAGGCTGAGTGAAAATCACCCCCCTCATAATTCTCCTATAAGTATTAGGAAATGTTGTATAAAACAAGTTATAATAGATATTTTTCAGTCAATCCCTTTTTAGCAAAGTTATACAAAGATAATGAGAACAGCACAAAATATGTCTCCATCTGTATCCCGGAACAATTACAAAACATTATACATAGTAGATATTTCTCATTATGCCTAAACATCGGGGATTGCCCGAAAGTAGACAGGGTCACTTCAGATACACTCCGGGAGGTACTCACTGAACAATCCTCCTATAAACAAAGTAATCAGTTATAATCCCGGGATGATATTTATAATTGTGTCACACAAAAGGTCATTGTTACAACTTCAGCAAATCTTTTTTTTTTTTACATTGTATTTCCTGTCTGTTCGGATTCTTTTGATTTGTAAACAGTTTTTTCTTTTGTTCTTTTACCCAATTTCAATTCCCACGGCCACATTGTGTTCACATTTTATTGGGATTTCATCTAGAAGAATAAGGAAGAAGTTATTTCAATGCTGTCAAGTTAAAGTGACACTAAACTCAACAGTTAGATCTTAAAAATCCCTCCAAGTCCCTGAACTCCGAACAACAATGTATCTGATTTGTGTATCACTCGGCTGTAGATCCTCCAATCATCTCTGACACTGTCCTTCCTCCTGGAGGGGGGCTACGTCTGTTCCCCATGGTCCCTGTGTGTGATGTAAAGTAGTCACCGCTCCAAGCTCACTCCCGGGGTTGGACTACAATCTCAGTACAAATGAGTAAACTAAACATGAGATTGTAGTCCATCCCTGGAGAGAGCTTGGAGCGGTGACTACTTTACATCACACACAGGGACCATGGGGAACAGATGTAGCCCCCCTCCAGGAGGAAGGACAGTGTCAGAGATGATCGGAGGATCTACAGCCGAGCGATACACAAATAAGATACATTGTTGTTGTTCAGAGTTGAAGGACTCGGATGGATTTTTTACGATTTCACTCCTGAGTTTAGTGTCACTTTAAAACTGTATGTTGTATTTTGGGACCGGCGCGGTTTTACGGGACATTCTCGCTCACAGTTTACTTCGGTGACATATTTTTGTTTTTTCGGCTGGGGAATCGTAGACTGCAGCAGCACCCCAAATCTACTTTCATTTGATTGATATCAGTTAACGCTGAACTCTGGGAATATTGTAAAAAAAAAAAACAACCTTGCAGTAAATCTCCAGAGCGCTGCGAGGGTTAATTTACAAAAATCCCAGGTTTCAGCATTAAAAACACAAGACTTTTCCAGGTGTAGACTTTGACTGGTGTAGAAGTCGTAGCTCCGGGGTACTGTAAAGAGCTGACATTCCTGATACACCCCATCCCTCCTCCTCCACCAAATTCACTAGAACCCTTGAAACTGGCTATGACTGGATCCAGGAGGATTGTTTGATCAATCTATTTCTGGCTTGCTGCAGGAGCAACACACACAGAGGTTAAAGGGGATATTATAGCCCCATCTATTCCCTGTATACTATCTATCTATCTATCTATCTGTCTGTCTGTCTGTCTGTCTGTCTGTCTATCTATCTATCTATCTATCTATCTATCTATCTATCTGTCTGTCTGTCTGTCTGTCTGTCTGTCTGTCTATCTATCTATCTATCTATCTATCTATCTATCTATCTATCTATCTATCTATCTATCTATCTATCTATCTATCTATCTATCGTTTGACCAGTTTGGTGGAGGAACTCAAGCCTCCTACATAGAGCCCTGAGCTCAATTCTACTGAACATTTTCATGAATTGGAATGCAGACTGTGAGTCAGATCTTCTCATCCAAAATCAGTACCTGACCTCACAAATGGGACAAATTCCCACAGGTACCCTCCAAAGCATTGTGGAAAGTCTTCCCCGGAAGAGTGGAGGATGGTATAGCCCCCCCCCTATATATATCCTGTTAATCACCTTCAAACTGTCTATGCCGGTAGAGGAGGGAATTGATTGAGTGTTCCATTTCTGCCTTGTTACATGTGTAGCCATGCAAATCTCTTCCTGTGTTCCCAGGAGTAACAAAATGATTAAATAAGAGGAGCCAGGAAGGGTGGAGTTAGAGCCTGTCATCGATCTTGAGGAGGCCACACTCAGCCTTGCAGCATCATTGAAGGGCCAATAGCTGGTGCTTTCTGTGAGCTGGGGCCCCAGTGAGTGACATGGCAAACTGCACCTAAGTGGCGAGGAGGGGAGAGCAGGAACATTCGGAATGAGGAGGAACAAGTGGGAGAGCAATGGCATTCTAGAAGGCGCACGCAATCAGAGCATGGGGAGGTGGGTAGAGGAGACAGGGCCACCAGACATAAGTGACTGCAGGTTCCGCATCTGCCCACCCGGCTCTTAGCAACCTGGGACACAATGGCCGGCATTCCGCCCAGCTCCTGGCAACCAGTGATGTCAGAGCGCGTATGCCCATTATACATCTCCCCCGCCCGGCTCTTAGCAATCTGGGACACTGTGGCTGGAAAGCGGGTGGCTGGCGCACTGCAAACATTGCGCAATGACGTTTAGAGGATAAACTTGAATTTCTACTGTAGCAAAGCACCCGCCTTGTTTATGTGTTTTACACACTTTAGCCTGGCCTCAGGGTTATAGCTCTCATTTTTTATTTCAAAAATGGGCATATGAGGACACGGGCAGGGGGTTGCAGCGCTCCTGGGTTGAGGGTGTGGGCTGTTTTGGGTGCACGGTGTTTTGCAGCCAACAATAATTAGGAAACATGCCCTTTAAAAGTACACATGCATCCTGTTATCACTGTAGTGCATATAGGCAGGGACAGGCTGTAAAGAGGCTGCAGGAGGTCAGCCACATTAAGATGTAGCAAAGCATGAAAAAAAAGGAGAATACTCTTCACTCTCCACCCCCCCAGTTCTGTAAAATATACAGCATTGTGCAACCTACATTACATTCAGTAAGAGTTACAGACCCTAACAGACCTACCAGTGCCTACAGGCCCAACACTAATTGCTCCCTATGCTTCACCTATCACAAATAAAGATCATTGTCATCATGGTTGCTGTGACCTCACCCTCTACATAGGTGCTGGCTGTCCTGAATTTGCCGACACAGCCTTACATCTTGGACCTCAGCCCCAACGATGCAGTGTCCCGGGCCATGTTCCCGGATCACAGTGTCGCCCTTTATGAAGTTACTACCAGTTCACACACAGCAGCATCTCCCCTAGGGTTGCCACCTGTCCAGGGTTCACCCGGACAGTCCGGGTTTTGAATGCTGTGTCCATGTTTCATGGCAGCAGAATCCCGGACACATGATCTCAGGCAGACAGGGGCAACCAAAATTAAGATAGGGGCTACTGGCCCCCCACTGAAAATAATCTCAACTGTGATACATAGGAATGGGTGGCGCTATTTACATATGAATAAGCCATGACTCATTTTCCCCCCAAAAAATGTCCGCGCGTTGCTTGAGTGTTCGGGTTTCGCTTGAAGAAAAGGTGACAACCCTAATCTCCCCTCCTCCATATTTCCAGACAGATCAATGGGAGAGCAACCCCATGGAATATCTGCTCACCATCAATAAATCTCTATTTCTTCTTGGTGTAGAGGGACTTGTGCTGAGGAGAAGAGGAGGATGGGTTCAAGACTGCTGACAACAATAAAGAAATCAGCTCCCTGGTGTGAAATGTTTTTACATACCTCCTCTTATACCAGTCAATGGATGATACAGATGGGGCACCAAGTGGTAGTTTTGTACTGTTTGAATACAACACGAGGTGGGCCAGCATTGTCCTGGGTGGATTTCATGGCTGTATTATGTATTTGCTCTTGACATTTGGTATGGAGGTATCACCATATAGA